ATAACAAAGGTTTCTGTTTGGTCACTTCGTTTTGCCATAATGTTGATAATTTATTCTCTTCCCAAACTTTTGCCTAACATGATGTAAACAGGTGGGAACGGTGGGCGAAAAGGGGCCGCCCGTGGAACCTGACCGGCTCAGGGGAGGCCTGCGTGGCGGCCTTACAAACGCAGAGACCTCCGGGAAACCCACGGGACAGTCTGGAATTAAAACTTTCCAACTAAAAGCAGTTCATGGCAGGTAGTCATGTCCTAGGCTGGTATTTTTTTCCCTAACAAAGGTCAATCTTTACCTTAACGAAGCCCACACCATTCCCAGAATTAGCCAGGCGGACATTTGGATTTGTTAAACTTACCTGTCCCCTGGCCCGAGAAAGCTCCAGCGCCGGAGCCAACGGCGCGCCTCCTGCTGGGTCTCAGGGTGAAACGTGTCAAAAAGAGAACGGCACCCCTCCTCCGCCGCCATCCCCACCCCCTCGCCAGCCCTGAGGGAGAGGGCTGGAGAAGCATGGCTCTTCTTTGACAAATGGGGCAGGGGCAGGGCGGGGGGAGGCAGGGGGGACACGGTGAAAATGAGCCACTGTGGCTTGTCCTTCTGTGAGTGCTAAAGAACAAAGCAGAGTCCATCTCCAATGTTCACATGATCCACGGAGACCCACACAGCTCCCTCGATGTCCCCTGTAAGGACAAGATAAGCAGCCAAAACAGGGGCGGGGGAGGGGCCAGCTCAGCGCTAGCCTGGTTCTGGAAGCACAGCTAACACCACAGCTTAAGGAAGAATGTCTAGGTGGTAAGAACCACCCACCTGGGGAGCAGAGCTGCGAAAGGGAGGGAAAGAATGAGTGATGCCATCCCATCTTTTTCCTTTCCTACACAACAGTCTCCCCCAAACAAGGCCCCCTTTCTCCCTAAATTCCTACAGCAGAGAGCACTCAATTCTATTAAAACATGCAAGTGGGCTGACCATAGTCCAGGGCCACCTAACCCATCCAGCCCCCCTGAGTGAACTTGATAAAGGTACCCCCCTCCAGGCAGCAGCAGCTCCCTGGGCACCCAGCCAGCGTGGTGAGTGAAGGGTGCTTGTGTGAAAGGTAGAAAGACTCCCGCCCCCACCCCACCCTGGGAGATACACCTTCACGGCAGGCTGCACAGGTGGGCCAGCAAACACGGGCTCGGGCTCAGCACCCATCCGCACCCGTCTGGACAGGCTCCCGCGCCCAGTGAACCGTCTGCGCAACTGCAACCAGAGGTTCTGCTTAATCGCTAAACACGAAGCTGCTCTACAATAGGAGGAAAGCAGTTTGCCCCGCCTGATTCCTGTCGGGTGCAACTTACTGAGTCTAAAAGTCATCGGGAAGGAACAGACAAAGGCTTGGAAAAGCCTTTTTTTTTTTTTACTCCGCTTTCCTCTTACTCGAACTATGAATGTGATGGCTGAAATTCCAGAAGTCACTTTGGACTCTGAGGTGACCTGAAGGCTGATGCGAGGACCGTGGAGTAGAAGGATGGAAGGACCCGGTCTGATGAATGTGATCAGCCCTGGGCTGCCTAGTTCTGGAATTAATTTGACAGAGAAATAAACTTCTGTTCTGTCCCAGCCACTGTGATTCTGAGATCTAGCTGCATGTCACAGAAAAAAAAATACCTAGTTCACATACTGCTATAATCAAAACATTGTTATATTGACACAGAAAAAGCAACCAATAAATCGGTAAACCAGAATTTAAAAATCCAGAAAAATATGCAAATGTTTATGAGGACCTAAGACATGAAAAGATCACAGTTCAGTTCCATTGGGGAATGTTTTATTTACTAAGCGTAACTGACATATTGGCTATTTGTCTGAAAGAAAACAAAACTAAATCCTTTCTCACATCGTAAATAAAATTAATTCCAGGTAGAGGAGAGATCTAAATTAAAATGTAAAGCAATTAAATTAATAAAAGAAAAATCAGAAGAATATTAACATGGACTTAGGTTGGGGACACCTTATTGAGAGAGCAGGAAACCAAAAAGCCATAAAGAAAAAGACAGACATAAAAAATATAAAACTTTTCCTGGCTGGCGTAGCTCAGTGGATTGAGCGTGGGCTGCGAACCAAAGTGTCGCAGGTTCGATTCTCAGTCAGGGCACATGCCTGGGTTGCAGGCCACAGCCCCCAGCAACCACACATTGATGTTTCTCTCTCTTTCTCCCTCCCTTCCCTCTCTAAAAATAAATAAATAAAATCTTTTAAAAATACATAAAACTTTTGGTAGAAGAAACCACACAGCTAAAGGGCAGGTTGGGAAAATGCGTGGGCAACACATCTGACGATGGTACCGTCTGTGGCAGGGCTGGCGAACCTTTTCTAGAAAGGACCAGATGATAAGTACACGAGGCTCAAGGGCCATATGGTCTCCGATACAACCACGCAAGCCTGTGGAGCACAGACTCGGCCACACACCACCCAGAAACTAATGACCGTGGCTATGTTCCAATAAAACTTTATGGATACAGAAATTTAGGTTCATATTCTTCTTCTTTTAATTTTTTTCGGGCATTTAAAAAGGTAAAAGCTTTTCCTAACTTGCCAGCGGAATGGTCGAATTGGTAACTGGTCTGTGACCTACCAAGAGCTCCCGATGCTTTGTCAGAAAAGACAAAGGTCAGAAGATAGCAACGTGCAGGTTGTAGAAGAGGAAATCCAAATGGTCACCCAGCATTTGTGACCGAATGGGGAATGGGATTTTCCCTGTCCTCTGAGTACGGTACAGGACAAATAATCCCACAATCCAGAGCGGGTCTTGACACACAGTTGACAATCTTGCACGGGAACCAGTCTCAGCGCACAGCACCAGCGGCAGACATCACAGGCCACGAGTAATTCAGAAAAGGATTGGAAGAGGGAGGAGGGTTGGTGATGTACTCAGACTATCTGATACTTGGAGCAGATGATTTTTTAACTTCCCCTCTTCCATACATTATCTTCAGTGATTACCATATTGAAGGCATTACATATTTCAAAGTAGATCCAGCCATTTTTTAAATATATTTTTTATTTTATTTATTTATTTATTTTAGAGAGGGAAGGGAGGGAGATAGAGATAGAGAGAGAGAAACATCTATGTGTGGTTGCTGGGGGTCATGGCCTGCAACCCAGGCATGTACCCTGACTGGGAATCGAACCTGTGACACTTTGGTTCACAGCCCGCAACTCAGTCCACTGAGCTACGCCAGCCAGGGCTTTTTAAAAATATTTTTTAAATTTTTCTTTGTTGGGCTTTATTGGGTCAACGTCTTTTCATGTTAAGACAGTGCCCTCTGATATGCTAAGTGAAATAAGCTAGTCAAATACCATATGATCTCACCTATATGTGGAGTCTAGTGAACAAAATAATTCAACAAACAAAATAGAAACAGAGACAGATAACAGAGTTTATCATTTTTAAGAAAAGGAGTGGACCTGACCTATGGCATGGGCTCTTTAAAGGCAGAGTTTCTCTGGCTGGGGAAGAAACCCCTAGAAGGAAAAGCAGCTTGGCCAACACTGATTTCAGCCTTGCTGAGCGGAGAACCCAGGCAGGCTGTGCTCAGACTTCTGACCTACAGACCTGTGGACGAGTAAATGAGTGTTGTTTTAGGCCAACACCCATTTAAAATTTGTGATAAGCTATTACACGGCAATGGAAAGCTAATACACCCTTTATTGCCTGTACCCAGGTGGACCACTCCCACCCTCGACCCTTGGTCCCCACCAGGCAGAGGAGTCAGGGGTGCGTAAGGAATTTCCCTCTCCAAAACATCTCCCCACAAATCCCTGCTGTGGTTAATATGCAGGCTCTAACCAGCTCCACACTGCCCCCTGAGGCCGAGACAGCGTACTCTCGTTCTGTCTCGTCCTTGCCTCACGTCTCATACCCTGAGCTGTCTGTCCCCTAGGAGTCATTAGCCTCTGACACATTCTGGAGAATCCCTGCTTTGGTAAAAACCCCATACTGTCTTCAATTAGCTCCTACTTTTGGATGTTCAGACAGTTGCCTTTAAAAAAAAATGTAAATATGGCCACGATGAACAGGTTTCGTACATAAAACTTTGGGCTTTGGCTGCTTTTCTTAGGGTAAGAAATGCTGAGTCAAGGAGGAATGAACTTTTTTAAGCTTCCTGATTACGTTGCCAAACTGTTTTCTAGATAGACTCTACAACTCTATTATCCCATTGGTGGAGTTTGACGCCTAAAGTGGTTTGATCTAAGCTGAGCCAAAGAAGATTTCCGCTCAAAGAATTTGGAGATATTTCTGGGGGGAGACCCTCTTCTCATTTTACCTCTCGACTCTCTCCCCGTTAGTGAGCCACCTTCACTCCCAAGCTTTCAGTCGCCCACTGGGTACTTCTACCTGGAATCCCAAAGACGCAAAAACCTAACTTCCAAAACTAGGGCATTTGTCACCTCTCCACCCCTTTTCCACCAAAAATGCTACAGATCCAGAAAACAGACCTATCACTGCGGCTGGGACCAAGGTGATAACCATGATGGTAATCATGGCAACGAGATTCCCTGACGAATTCGCCCTTTTAAGACGAAAGAGGGCACTCCGAGTGCAGAGGTGACAGGAGGACAGAGAAGGGGAGACATGCCTTCCTCTCCGGGGTGGGGCACAGAATGGGTAATTTGAGGGAATGTATACGACAGCACCTGCGCACCAAGGCCCAGGACTAAGTGAGTCGTGTGCGTCACGGACCTTCGCCAAACAGGCAGGTCCTGGAAAATACGCATTCCAGGCTAGCACGCAGATGTCAAGTGCGAGGGCCAGCAGCCCCGGGGGCCCCGAGTCCGCGGCCTGCGGGAGAAAAACTGCGCAGCCGTCGTAGGGCGCCCCGCCGCTAGGTTCGTGCGCACGCGCCCTTGCACGCACGTGCGTGCGCGCAGACCGCGAACTAGGAGAAGGCAGCAGAGGGGAAGGGGTGGGGTTGAACTCGGGCTCGCGCATGCGTGCGCTGCACAAATCCTTTGGCGGGTTTTCCCGGCACCTCTGTTCTGTGCGGGTCGCTGAGAAGCTCCGCACTTGGTAGCTTTTGGGAAGCAGGCTGTTCTCTCCTGGAGAGCGACTTCTCGAGATTTCTGCTCCATTCCTTCGGGCGTCTGGCGGCTTCCACCACTACAGAAAAACAAAAGTGTTTCTTTCTCCGTGACTGACAGCTGGGGTCTTCTGACCGCCGGTGGGTCCGTTGCACTCAGGTCGGAGCTGGGCGGACCCGCCCCCATCCTGCGTTGCCATGGCCGTGTCCGCCCAGCAGCTGGAGGAGGAGTTAGAGATCTTTGGCCTGGACTGCGAGGCGTCCGTGACAGAGAAATGTGAGTCCCTCCCCTCCCCGGGCCCCAGCCGAGGTCCGCGCGCGGCTCCGCGTCCCCGTCGCCTGGAGCCCAAAGGGAGCGCTTCCGGGTTTCCCTCCCCGAGACCAGACGTCTCGGAGGGTGGGAGAGGAATTAAGCTGCGTTTTGAGATTTGCGATAGGGGGACTTTGAAACTCTCACACAATACTGCTGGAACCCCCACTCGAAAACAGGAGTATGAAAGACGATTTTAAATCAGCGCAGTTTCAGAAAGGTGGAATTGGGACGTGCCTGGTTCACACAATCTAGGCTCTGGGGGCTTGTCCCAGTTTAGAAATGGCTTAAGCCTCTGCAACAAAGCAAGAGGTTCGGGGCTTTTTTTTCTTTTATTTATTTATTTATTTATTTATTTTTAGAGAGGGAAGGGAGAGAGAAAGAGAGAGAGAGAAACATCAATGTGTGGTTGCTGGGGGTCATGGCCTGCAACCCAGGTATGTACCCTGACTGGGAATCGAACCTGCGACGCTTTGGTTTGCAGCCCACGCTCAATCCACTGAGTTATGCCAGCCAGGGCTAGGTTTGGGGCTTTTGAAATGCAGTTTTTTTATTCCTGGCTCCTCCCTTTCCAGCACTTCTCATCAGAGCTGTTGGTAGTCTGTGTGCGAGTCTGAGTGCCTCTGAGTTGCTTGAGGTGGGTTGTAGCTTCGGAAGGGACTGTAGGGAGCTTGTCAGTTGCTTACAGATGGAGAGACGGACAGACGGACAAAGAGAGTTGATAACCTGCGCTGGTCTGCGAACCCAGCCTCCGTTCCCTACGAGCTCCCTCACACCAGTCCATTGTATTGGTCAGGCTCTGGGACAGTCCAAGGACTTGTTGGAACCCAAGTCTGGGGAGATGCAGAGTTTCTCTTAACCATTCCGGTTTTTTTCCCCTTGTACTTATTTTTAGAGGCGGGGAGGGAGAAAGAGAGGAACAGAAACATCGATGTGTGGTTGCCGCTCATGTGCCCCTCCACCGGGGTGGGAGAGGGGCCTGGCCTGCAACCCAGGCATGTGCCCTGACTGGGAATCGAACCAGCAACCTTTTGGTTTGCAGGCCGGCGCTCAATTCACTGAGCCACACCAGCCAGGGTAACACTTTGAACTTTTTTTAACCTTAATATGTTAATTTCTCATGAGAGACCAGAATACTCCAAGTTCTGATGTCCAGTGCATTGTCTTCCTAAAAGAAGACTTAAATGAGAAACTCAAGGATAGACATTTATTAGATGAGCTTGAAGTCAACACGAGAAATGAGTGTGTGAACCAGGTTTGTGAAGGCTTCAGCCCAAGGTGCCTGTGGCTGCCGGCTCCCATAGGATGGCGCTGGCAGTGGCGTTGGAATTGTAGACTGTGGATTCATAATCACCAACCCCAGTGACCTTGAATACCGCCTGACAGTCATGCCGTGTCCTCCTGGGCTGGTCACTCTGAGTCTTCCAGGTGACTCTTTTCCACCTTCTCATTTAACATCTTTCTTCCCTCTCTCAGAGATGAATGTATTTCCTGTTTTGCTGGAAAAAAAATAGGAGCTATTAGAAAACTTCTATAAGATGGAACATTACACCTTCCTGCCTACCCATGTCCGCACTGTATGCCTTGCCTGCCTTCCTGTTACAACGAATACATTCTCCATATTCTTAGCAAAAGCCACACCCTCCACTTGAGTTCTAAATCCCACTCCTCATCTTCTTAAGGATAGCACTCCAGTAATTCTCTTATGTATTTTGTATTTTTCTCTCTATAAGATTTTCCCCTAATAGCAGAGAGATGCGGTTCTTACTGCTGCCTTTAAAAGAATCTGTTGACTTCACTTCCCACGTCAGTTCTTTCCTTCCTAATTACACAAATGTCCTCAAAAGGGTTGCCTGTACTTGCTGTCTTTATTTTTTTTTTCTGCTTAGCAATCAACTTTGTCATCTCCCCTGCTGCACTGAAGCTGCTTCTCTCAAGGCCATCAGTGACTTTCATCTGGCTACTCAGGGGTGACTCTGCAGTCCTCATCTTGAGTTACCAGCAACATCTGACAGTTCCTCACGCCTTCTCTAACATGGGTTTTTCTCTTAGCCTCTCCGACACCCTGGCTGCCCTCCCACTGTGCTCGTCATCACCTCAGGCCCTGTAGATTCACACCCCCATCCCCACCCTGTCCTGAGCCTTAAGACACTCTCACAGTCTTGGTGGCCTCACCTGGTATCATGGCTTTACATGCCCGTGTTTCCGATGAGTCCCAGCGTTATGCCTTAGCCCAGACGTCTTGCCTGGACTGCACGCTGGTCTGGCCAGCTGCCTAGTTGACATCCCTGGTTGTCTTGTGTGATTGGCACGTTGAACTCTGCACTTTGGAAACCGAGTTCCTGGTATCTCTTCCCTCTCCTCCAAGTAGTTCCTCCAGCTGTCTTCTCCGCCTCAGTTAACAGTGACTGCACCCAAGAAAATATCCAGAAAATCAATTAAAAATTTTTTAAGCCAAAAAAGAAACAAACAAAATAGTGACTATCCTTCCAGGTGCTCAGGCTAAAAACAGCATCATCTCCTTTCTTTCTTTAGACCTCACACCCAGTTAGCAGGTCGTCCTGGCTTTGCCTTTAGTGTGTATCCCATCCAGACTCCCACCCCTTCCGGCGACCTCCCCCGCCACCGCCTTGATTCAAGCCACCATCATTTCTCACCTGGGTTTAACTATGATTCTCTGAATTGACTCCCCTGATTCTGCCCTTGTCCCATTCAGTCCATGGAAGTGAGATCACGTTACTGGCCTGTTCCAGCCCTCCAGATTCCCCAGCTTGCTCTGAGGACTACCCGGGGTAATCGCAGTGGCCAAGAATGTCTCCTCCCTCGCTGCACCCAGCCACCGTGGCCTGGCTGAACTTGCTTGACCTCTGGATTTTTGCCTGAAATCTCTTCCCTTAAACACTGTGAGACTCATTCCTTCACTCCCTTCAAGTCTGTGCTCGAAAGACTTCTTCTCCATGAAGACTTCTCTGATCCGTGTATTTAAAATAGCTAAGCCCTTCTCCAAGTCCCTGACCCCCCTCCTGGCTTCACTTCTCGGCGTAGCACATTCACCCATCTACCTGTATACACGACCTCTTCCACTTGTTAGTTTTCTGTTGCCCGCCAGTGGTGAGCTTCGTGAAGACGAGGGTTCTCCTGTTTTGCTCACGGCTATATTCTCATGCCTAGAACAGTGCCTGGCGCAAGTAGGTGCTGAATGAATGTGGATTGAATAAATAGAGGATTATTTTCTTTCTTTTTTTTTAAGATTTTATTTATTTATTTTTAGAGAGGAAAGGAAGGGAGAGAGAGAGAGAGAGGGAGAAACATCAATGTGCGGTTGCTAGGGGTCATGGCCTGCAACCCAGGCATGTGCCCTGGCTGGGAATCGAACCTGCGACACTTTGGTTTGCAGCCCATGCTCAATCCACTGTGCTACAGCCAGCCAGGGTATTTTCTTTTTCTTTTTCTTTTTTTTAAATTCTATTTCCATTGCTCTTTTTTTTTTTTAAGATTTTATTTATTTATTTTTAGAGAGGGAAGGGAGGGAGAGAGAGAGAGAGAGAGAGAGAGAGGGAGAGAGGGAGAGGGAGAGGGAGAGGGAGGGAGAGAGAGAGAGAAACATTAATGTGTGGTTGCTGGGAGTCATGGCCTGCAACCCAGGCATGTACCCTGACTGGGAATCGAACCTGCGACACTTTGGTTCGCAGCCCATGCTCAATCCACTGAGCTACGCCAGCCAGGGTGTTTTCTTTTTTCAAGGTTTAAGCTTCAAGAAATACCGTGAGTGCTTACTTGTCTGATTTGCCCTCCACAGTGGCGGAGCTGTGCGTTCTGTATGGACAGAACGAGGAGGGAATGGTGGGCGAGCTCGTCGCCTTCTGCACCAGCACACAGAAAAGCCGCCTCACCCCGGAGGTCCTGAACTCCTTTGAGCACGAGGTGAGAGCGCGATGTAAGGAAACCCCACGTGTGACTGCGTGTGACTCTCCGTCTCTGCGCTGTAGGGGAGAGAGTGCGGCACGGTGAGGAGGGCGTGAGCTTTGGAATCAGAACTGGCTTCCAGTCCCGAGGTGGGCTTGAACAGATGACTTAATGTCTCTGAGCCTTAGCGCCCTCTGCTGTCAGTGGTTCTGACAATCCATACCTTAAACCTTTTTAGGGTTATTGTGAGAATTAAATGAAAATGGATATAAATCGCCTAAGACTATGCCTAACTGGTGGTGGATCTTCAACAAGTAATTGGTGTTACTATTAGAATCGTTATGTGTTGTAGAGAAACAGTTGCAGAATTAGCCTTTTTTTTTATTTTAATTGTTGTTGCAGTACAATTTTCTATCCCATCCCAACCCACCCACCCAGCCCTTCCTTCCTCCCTCCCATTTCTGCCTGCCCCTAGTTTTTATCCATGTGTCCTTTATACTCGTTCCTGTAAACCCTTCCCCTTTTCCCCTGAAATTCCCTCTCCTCTCCCCTCTGAACTCTGTCAGTCTGTTCTCGATCTCAGTGTCTTTGGTTATATTAGAATAAGTCTTTATGTTTAGTTGGTCATGAACGTCTTCTTAATTCTTACTTGGAGGAATTTTATACCTTTAATTATATTTCGAAAGCCTGTTATTATCTTGTGGCTGTGGAAAACGCCTCCTCTAATACTTGCCTTTGGAATAATACGTCCATGACCTTTTTTTCCTCAGTTTCTGAGCAAAAGATTGTCCAGAGTCCGTCGCGGTGCCGGCAAGGACAGCGGGCACGCGGGGGCCAGAGACATCGTCTCCATACAAGAGCTGTATCCTTTCTGCCGGCGGTCTTGACCTCAAGCCACACGTTCTGTTTTATCATTTGTTTATAGTCACGTGTGTAATTTATAAACGAAAACGAAAAGTACTTACTGTTCAGGGTTCTGTTTAATCAGCCCTTGCCTTAGATTTGGAGGGGAAGTCTTTTGTTATCTTCCTTAGCCGACGTTGTTAGAATCGAAGTGGAGGAGGAAGAGGAGACCCTCCTGGACTCGTACACCACACCCTCGAAGGTGAGTCTCCAGTGTCTGGAAACGGCGTTCTGCAGATGGTGGTTTTCCTTTTTTCTAAAGACATCGTGACATTTGAAGTTCTGAGAGAGAACGTTAACCTCCACACAGGTTCTGTGTATTTCCTACCATATTTCCACTTACGCGTCTTCCTGCCCGAGCACATGCACACCTGTTTTTACATAATTAGAGTCCTCGTGAACACGTGGTTATCCTTCGTTTTTCAGTTCACATGTCATAGAAGTTTTATAAATACAATTTTTCTGTAACTACTCTTTTTATTTTTACTTTAAAAAATATTTTATTTATTTATTTTGAGAGAGAGGGGAAGGGAGGGAGAAAGAGGGGCAGTGAAGCATCAATGTGTGGCTGCCTCCCTCGCACCCCCTATTGGACCTGGCCCGCAACCCAGGCATGTGCCTTGACTGGGAATCGAACTGGCAACTCCTTGGTTCGCAGGTCTGCGCCCAATCCACTGAACTACCCAGCCAGGGCCTCTTCAGATTTTTTTTTTAACTCACTTATTTATTTTTAGATAGAGGGGAAGTGAGAAAGAAAGGGAGAGAAACATCAATGTATGGTTGCCTCTCACATGCCCTGCACTGGGGACCTGGCCTGCAACCCAGGCATGTGCCCTGACTGGGAATTGAACCAGCAACCCTTTGGTTCACAGGCCAGCGCTCAATCCACTGAACCACACCAGCCAGGGCAGATTTTTTTAAAAAGATTTTATTTATTTACTTTTAGAGAGACAGGGAGGGAGGGAGAAAGAGAGGGAGACAAACATCAATGTGTAAGAGATTCGGTTGCCTCTCACACATCCCCAGCTTGGGACCTGGCCCGTAATCCAGGCATGTGCCCTGACTGGGAATCGAACTGGCAGCCTCTTGTTTGCAGGCCAGTGCTCAATCCACTGAGCACACCAGCCAGGGTACTCCTCTTTTTAATGGTTGTATAGTTTAGTATCAAGTGGAAGTACTATAATTGAATCATTCAGTTCTAGTTTGGATTCCAGTGTGAGAGAGAGTAGGGCAGTGAAAAAGCATTGCCCTCAAAGCCTGAGTCCAAAGACCTAAGTGACCTTGGGTGGGTTGTTTTATCTCTCTGAGCTGCAGTTTCCTTACCTATAAAATTAGGATTCATTATCCATTTACTGAGCAGCTACTGTGCCAGGCGCTGCACAGTGAATGAAACCGGCACGGAGGGGCTGTGCCCTCCAGAAGCTCACAGCCGAGGGATAATAGTCCGTCTCAGAGGTCTTGAAGGTGAAATTAATATGTAAAGTGCCAAGCCCAAAGCCAGGTACTAATAATAGTAGTTACTCTTTATGCAAAATAAATTTGTGGAAACCCACAAACATGGAGTAAGCCTTAATTTTTCAAAGTACAGTACATCATCAGAAAGAAGGTAAATAGTTTTAGTGTGCCTGTGGAGAGCAAGAAAGCTAAACATGGGCCCCGTTCAGTTGCTAGCACAAAACCAGGTGCATAGAATATTACAGGAAGTAATGAGATTCTTCTGAGAGACTGTAAAATCAGCACTTGGTTTTCCCCCTAAAGGTGGTCTTCTCCGAGAGTCCAAATCTTAGTACCAGGCACCTCCAGTCTTCCATTTGTTCAGGGCAGGGACTTTGGAGCCCTCCTTGAGTTTTTTTTTCCTCTCACACCCCATATCCAGCTCTCCCGCTAGTCGCGTCAGCCCTCCGTCCGGGATCTGGGCCCCTCTGCCGACCTCCACTGCCGGCACCGGGTCCCCAGCATCGTCATCTCCTTCTACACGTGTGGGACAGCCTCCTAACTGGTCCCCAGGCCTCTTTCTGCCTGTCCATCTCTAAGCGGTTTCCTACCCAGCAGCCAGAGTGCCCCTTTCCGGTGGAAGTCAGGCCAGGTTTTTCTCGCGCACAGCTCTCCACCCGTTCTCCCTCTTCCCTAGTAACCTAGTAGCCTCAGCCTGTGGGTTTGTGAAGTGCAGTCCCTGCTCCCTCTGTCCTGCTTCTGTGCCCCTCCTCACCCGGGTTTCCTTGCTGCTCTTCAGACACACCAGACAAGTCTGCCTCCTACGTCCCCTGGTCAGAGGGAGCACACTTGCCTAAAATGGCAAGCCTCCTCCTTCCTTCATTTTCTCATTTTATTTTTCTCCATAGAACTGATTACCACGGGGCATGCTACGTATTTGCTCTTTAGTACTTGGGAGGCCCAGTTTCAAGTCAGGATCCGTGCCCAGGCGATCAGAGCTAAGGCAGCTGGGTTGAAATGAGCGGACAATGGGAAACAGGTCGGACGCTCAGCGGAGACGCAGCGTGGGTCTGGGCGGAGATGGGTGATGGGCTTAGAACGGTCCCCGTCCCGTGGAAGCTGCTCGGTCATTGTGAGGCCACGCACCAAAGGCGTTGTGACAGAAGAGTCGTGGTGCCACGTGGTGGCCTTTCCACACAAACACTCACCAGGGTGAGGTCCCCTGACCCTTGCCAGGCTGTGGGACAGGTGCACTCCTGTTATAGCAGTGAAGGTCCGTGGTCTTGCTTGTCATCGTCAAATATCTGGCTTGTGCAGCTGACAAGAATTCATTTGCCTTCGTGCTCACCATAAATCTTCTGGTTATAAGCTGGCTTTCCCGTGTCCCGCCTGACGGGAGGGAATGTGTCAGCCTGAGGCTTTAAAGTTCCCATGCCATTGGCGTTATAGTTCTAGGAAATTAGCACGCTGGCCTCCTCAGCTGTGGCTGTAGCTCGGGTCCGGTGTGCCGTGAGAATCTGGCGCTGCCTGCGCTTCCCGTTTGCAGGGGCATGGACCGGTGTGCAGTGTTCGCAGTGAGTCTGGTAAGCGCGGTCAGAGCGAGCCCCTGCCTGAGGAGCGTGACAGCAGGTGGCTTGTTGACAGTGCGGTTCCACAGCAGGGGCCACAGCAGGGGCCGAGGATGGGAGCCATGAGACTGTTTCCCAGAGCGCCACCCTCTGGCCAGTCCTGGGATGTGGACTCTTTCTCCTGAAATGCCCTGTGCACGGTACATTAGAAGTGGATTTTGGGAAAGCAGTTTGAGAAAATATATCAAAACCATGAAGTCTTTTCTACCTTTGACATAACAGTTCTCCCTAGTAAAAATCTCTCCTGAGGAAATAATCCAAATTATGAGGAAATCTATATAGCGTGGAGATACGCGTCTCAGCATAATTTATAATTAACCCAAATTACAAGCAGCTCATACTTCCAGCAAGAGAAGTCATTATGTAAATTATTTCAATTCAATCCATTTCAATTTCAATTCATTATGTAAATTATTTCAATTTGACCCTTTTACAGCTACTTAAAAAAGATCAAAATTGTGGTATTGTGGGAAAATGCTTATAGTTAATATAGAAAAAAATGAGCCCTGGCTGGTGTGGTCCAGTGGGTTGAATGCTGGCCTGCAAACCAAAGGGTCGCCAGTTCAATTCCTATCAAAGCACGTGCCTGGTCTGTGGGCCAGGACCCTGGTGGGGGGCGCATGAGAGGCAACCGCACACTGATGTTTCTCTCCTTCTCTTTCTCTCTTCCCCTCTGTCTAAAAATAAGTAAATAAAATCTTTTTTAAAAATTAGTATACATAGTACTTAAAGATTTGTATTTAAACTAAGATTGTAACTATTGCAGAAATATTAAAATACTAGAAAGGAGCAGTAAAAAAGTTGATTGTATAGGGTGGTAGCATAAGAGCCTCTGTAAGCCCATTCCATTCCAGCTCCTCCGTGATGGTTTTGAACCTATTCTCTGGTGGCTGTCTCACGGTCCTCACGGCAGGCAGCCTTGGTGGCAGGACTCAGATACGCCACTAGGAGGAGCCCGAGGGCAGAGGACGCCTCCCCAGACTCGCTGGCCTCCGCTGCAGCCTGGGCAAGGATCTGCCTTAGCTCTCCCGGTCAGTTACGCTCGACTTTGAGGAGCAGTAGGTCTCGGCTGTGGGTTTCGTCCTCCACTCTGGGCACGTCTCCGGATTCTTGCTGATAAGCAAAAACCAAAAAGTGACCATCAGTGAGGTGTTTGCTAAATGCTCCAAGTATGAGCTCAGCCGAGTTATCTGCCTGAGTCATTCTCTTCTCTAATTTTGAAAATGTGTGGTTGACTTTGCCAAAATAAGTAGTAACGTGGTCCCATCCCTTCTCAGGAAAACGCGTTCACGCAGGTCAGAGCCCATGCGCTGCTAAACCCGCACGCGTTCTGAAGCAGAGAGAGGAGGGGAGAGAAAGGGAACACACGGACGATTTGACGGGACAGACTGACCTCTTGGCAGTCCGTTTTAGGGAATGCCGGCACTTTTTCACAGTTGCCTTCAACGTGGGGCAGCATTCTGATGAGTGCTGGGTCACAGTCCTGGAGACGTCTGGTGGGACTGCTTTCGGCCTGTGGGAGCCCCAGCCCCAGCCCCGCCGCGTGGCCTCCACTGGGGCCTCCACTGGGGCCCCGCTCCCTTCTTCCCGTGGAACTGGGCCCTCCATTCGTAACCCGGGTCTAGAGGGAGTGGGCTTTTGTTTTTTGTTTTGTTTCTAGGGCGCTCAGAAGCGAGCTGTCACCACCCCAGAAACGCCCCTCACGAAAAGGAGGGCGTCTGCCCACAGCCCCCATCAGCTTCTCTCGCCGTCGAGTTTCTCTCCAAGGTATGATCAGAAGTAGGTCGGCTGCCAGCAGGCCGCCCCGCCCTCCCGTTCCCGGTGATCTGGTGGGGGCTGACTCCACAGAGGGACTTACTAGGTGGGGGGGACGGATCCCTCCGCCGTGCGCTGGCTGGGAAGCCCTTCTCTCTGCCCCCCCTCCTTTGTCTTCCTGTGTGGAAAATTACTGTTTCTTACGGTAATTAAGGAAACTCACTTTCCACCCACTTTTCTGAGGCTCGTTTCCTAGATCGGGAACTGATATCTGCAGCTGGAAACAACCTGGCCATTCAGGCGTCCAGGCCCTCCGGCCGTGCTGGTGCCGGCGGCCGGCCTTTCACCTGCTTGTTAGTTTGTGTGTCGTTGGGTTTCATTTGCTTCAATCTAAAGTAGTTATTTTTTTTTTTAAAGAGAAAAGCACGTATCTTTGTTCATAATGTTACATAACCTGTTTCTTGTCCCGCCTCAGGGCACAGCTAGTGTCTGAGAGGTCTCTTGTTGCTGGGAGTCTGCACTGACTTAATCGGTGCTTTGTCCCTGCTGCCACTGCTGCACCTGATTTCACAGAGATCACCTGTGATTTTTTTTTTAAATCCACGGATGACTCCTCTTGTATTAGGGAACTCCATAGGTGAGGGCCGTGCGGCGCGAAGACAGGTTTTCAGGTGCTGCCACGTCGGGATGTGGCCGAGGGACAGCCCTGCCCGCCTTCGAGGGACTGCCGGCTGCCACCGCAGCTGTGGGTCACGTCTTCCAGACGAGGCAAAGCTGAAGGTGCCTCGGCCCCGTCGCTGTAGAAAGGAGGTGGCAGCCGGCATTCCAGACGAGCAGTCGCTGGGTTCTGCAGGGCAGGTCGCCTCTCGTGTGGTCCACCGCTGCCTTGGGGAGTCCTCGGACTTTTTAGAAGCGAACTTTCTGGACTTACAAGAGTGTCTCTGAAACTCGATGTATAGAGGTGGCCCTCGTGGGCGGGCCGGCACCGCCACGGCAGGCGTATTCTGGAACGAGCAGTCCTGGGAAACCTGTGGACCTCGGGGCGGCTGACCCCGCGTGAGCGTCTGGACGCCTTAAAGGGCCGGCTGCCACCGACGTCCCACGGAGCTTCGCAGGGAGGGGCTCGGAGAGGTCGGGGATAGGCTGCCTCGTCATTTTTAAACGCAGGCTGATAAAGCCGGCATCAGAAACTGGTTTTGTAATTTATGAAAGTAACTCCTAAATTATTCAGGCAGAGGCAGCCCTGGAGAGAGAGCTAATTAACTGAGTCATGCTCCGTGTCTCCGGGGAAAGCAGGAATGACGGCCGCCCTCGCAGTGGGGCCCGCATCCCGCTGGTCCGCGCAGAGTTTCGGTGCCTTCGATGAAGCCTGTTTTCACTAAATAGACCCCCCGGTGAGCTGGGTTCACAGCCGGGGGACTGGGAGATGTCATTGTCATCTAAGCAGACGGCAACGTCTGAGCGTCCTCAGAGGTGTCATTTACCCGCCGGGGAGCGGAAACACGAGAACTGTCAGCTGAGCCTCGGAGAACGGGAATGTTTGTTGGCCAGCTGACCGGATTCATTACATCCCTGCCTCCGAGGAGACTGGGGACAGTTGATTCATTTCGCTCGTAACTGCGTTTGCTGTGCGCGTCCACCGCCAACTAGACTGCATGGTGTCACGCACGCGCGCACAGCCTCTCCCGGCCTGTGTGAAGTTCTGGGCTCCGGAGATGTTCTAGTGAACCCTACGTGCTCAAGGGAAATGGTGCTTGAAGCTTGCTTCCTAATCAGTTCAGAGTTGGGTTTTGTTTTGCTTTGTGTGGTCTTAAGCCAGGAGAACGACCTTTTAAAATACGTCTTTGTCTCTGAACTTCTCTGAACACGTTTGGTGTTGCTCTACGGTACTCCTCAGCCCTTCATTCCTGAGATTCCTTAAAGGCCCGGGTATGTCCGACCCCGTTAAGCTGATTAGACTTGTAAAATTCGAGGCCAGCTTGACCTTTCTCCGGCTCCCATTTCCAGAAGGTGACCTCGTTTTGTTCCTCTCTCCCTGTCCATACGAACACAGTGAGCTGTTCATCTCTTTTGCTCCCAATTAGTGCTACCCCCTCTCAGAAGTACAACTCGAGGAATAACCGAGGAGAAGTGGTCACCTCCTTCGGCTCAGCGCAGGGAGTGTCTTGGGCCGGGAGAGGGGGAACCGGCGTCGTCAGCCTGAAGGTCCTGGGGAGTCCAGAGTCCCTGACCGGGAGCTACAAATTCATGTTTCAGAAGCTCCCGGACGTCCGAGAAGGTGACTGTTTTCGCTTTTAAATTCTGGAGGACATAAAACCACTGAGAAGGGTTTAGAGTAGGTAGCAAAGCTTCCTTTGGGCTGCAGAACAAATTCTAACCTTGCCTTTGAATATGTATAAGTTGGTAGGTGTCCTCTGGGTGCCCCTGGGAGTTGGGGGGCATGGTCCTCTTAGTCATTCTCCCAAGCAGCTTCCCTTAGCCGAAGAAATGTGCTAAAGGAAAGCACGTAACCATTTCCCAGTAACAATCACTCGAATTACGTAAAGGAAGCCAATGAAACTATTAAAGAAAGCAGAAACATGTGTGGCTTCTTAGGAAGACTGGGAGACCATCCAGGTTCACCTTGGCTTGCCCTAACCCTCACTCATGGCCTGAGCAAAAGGAAGGCTGGGGGCTGGGGGTCCATGCCGACTCGGGGACCGGGCGGCGTGAGCCCCGGGCCAGAGGGAAGGCCACGTGTGGTGTCAGGAAACTGCCCGGGGGAAGTTCTGGAAAGCGTGAATCGGCCAGACCTCAGTACCCTTCCTGCCTCTGTGAAAGGACTGGCTGTAATGTGTGACAATGTGCTGTATTTTCTTTCTGTTCTTGGCAAGTGAAACGTCTTAAACGCAACACTTTCTCCCCTCTGGGATTTCAGTTTTGACCTGTAAGATAGAAGAACTTGGCAGCGAACTCCAGGAACATTACAAGATTGAGGCTTTTACTCCTGTCCTAGTTCCAGCACAAGTAAGAGTTGTTCTCACAGTCCTTCCTAACGTTGTCTTTTCCAGTCCGAGGTGAAAGGCACCCTCTGGCTTCCGTTTTCACCTGCCTACATTCTGGTTAGGACAGCTGTCCCGGTTGGATTTGGTAAAAGGGGTCCTTTTGAAGAAAGACTTGCAGATGCTCTCTGGTCTTGTGACCAGACACAGCCACCGTCTCTGCACGTGGGTCTAGGTCACGACACGGCAGCGACAGAAGGCTTTAAGCGCTCTAGCACCAGAGCGTGAGGACAGGAGCAAGGGTGGGAGTTCCAGAAACGGCGACTCGTGCTCCGTTCCCTTGCCTGGTCTCGGTTCCGAAGAAGCTGCTGCGCGTGGTCTCCCCACCGTGATTTAATCTGGCACGTGTGCCGGTGCCTTCTCTCCAGAACGCTTAACACCGGGGAGATGTGTTCCAGAATAGTCTTCGAGTTTCCTCTGTCGTGTTTCCATTCAAGAGAGGAGTGACCAGCTGGGGAAGCTGGTGCAAAGCCGTGTGGTATGAGGAAGTGTTGGGGGAGCTGAGGGGAAGCAGCGGAGGGTGGCAGGCATGCGTGTTCTTGTGGGAAAAGGTCAGACTTCCTCAGTCGGCCCCAAGGACTGGGAACAGGGCGGAGGAAGCCACAGGAAGAGAAATTTCAGCCCAATTTAACGAAGAACTTCCGGTTAAGAGGCAGGAAGATGTGTGGCTAAGGATATGGCTCCAGAGCCAAACTTCTGGGCCTCAAACTCAGGCTTCAGCCACTGTTGGCCCTTCACCAAATTACCTAGTGCCTCCGTTTTCTCATCTGTGAAATGGGTGCAGTAATAGTGCCCACCTCACAGTTGGTGTGGGGACTAAATGAATTGATCCATGTGAACCTTTACAGCGGTGTCTGGTATTTAGTAAGCTCAACGAACGTGAGCTGTCGTTAACCATTATAGCTATCCAGGGGTGCAGTGGGCTGCTCTGGGGGTGCCAGGACCAGTTCCCCTTCACTAGAGATGCTCCAGCCTAAGGTAGCCTCCTAGGGGGCTCCAGCATGGGGTGGGCAGACTGGATGCCGTTTAAGACACCGGTGGCAAACACAAGGCTCACGAGCTGAATCCGGCCTCCGCCTTGTTTTATCCGGCCCAGCACCGAGCTCCTTGCCCCTAGTTAGGGAGTAGTTACATTTCTACAGTCCTGAAGTTACATTCGGCCTTTCGAAGGCAACCGTGAGGCTGCTGTGGCCCCCGGTGACAATGAGTTTGACACCCCTGCTTTAAGAGTGCTGACGGCCCTGTTGTTCGTAATGACTCGGTCACCTCCGGGTCAAAGTGATTCCCCGCCGAGACGATGTTTACTGTTACTTGGGGTTTGCCTTGCTGCTCAGTGTGTTGACTTCAGATTTTGAGCCTCTGCCCCGAAGGCTATATCGTTCTTTTTCTGCACCCCGCCTGTGGCAGGAGCCCATCACCCTGCTGGGCCAGATCGGCTGTGACAGCAACGGGAAGCTGAACAGCAAGTCGGTGATTCTGGAGGGAGACCGGGAACATTCCTCTGGCGCGCGCATTCCGGTGGACTTATCTGAGCTCACGGAATACTCCCTGTTCCCCGGACAGGTGAGCCGGGGTGCGGGCATGCTCCTTACTCCACAGTACGCGTGGTGGGCTGTGGCTCCAGGACAGCGTTTCCTCACTGGCCCGCCGCCCCTTGGTTTCGACCTCTGCTGCCGTGAGATGTGGCGGGAGCACAGTCCCAAGAGCAGACACCGGAGTAGGGCTTCCAGCTTTCCCTGGTATGCTCTGGCCTTGGCTCTGGACTCTGCACAGGTTCGAATCCCGGCTCCACCCCACCTGACCTGTGATTATGGCCATGGTAGTTAACTTCAAAGCCAGAGTGTCCTCATCTGTAAAATGGGAAGAAGAATTCTTACCTAATGGGACTGTTGTCAAAATTAGGTCACCCGTGGAAAACATAATTATGATTACTAATACAAACCCCTTAATCTGCTTTCTAGAAAAATGCTCCCGAGTTTACCACTACCAAACAAAAGTGGCTAGACAGTTCTTTTAATTGTATCAGAATAACTGATTCCCGACCTCTCGTTTATCTGCCGTTTTGCAGTCCTGTTTTGCTTCTTGTCTTCCAGGTTGTGATTATGGAAGGAATCAACAGCACGGGTAGAAAATTTATCGCCACTAAACTCTACGAGGTAACCGCAGCGGTGCCCCCTCTCCCCTGGTCTCCTCCTGCCCCATGTGCGCAGTCTGTCCGCCTTAGGGGCCTGTTTATTTGCCCCCCGACCCTCCCTCGAGAGCGAGAACCTGCCCCTAGGCCAGGGCTTAGCAGACTGTGTCTGTAAGGGGCCGGACAGTGGCTTTGCAGGCCTCTCGGTCTCTGTCGCCACGGCAGCTTTGCAGTGTTGCACAGCCGCAGCCGCAGATAACCTGTGAGCCACGGGTGTGGCCGCGCCAGCGAATCTTCCTTAGGAAAAGAGCCGGTAGCCGGATTTGGCCCCCAGGCCGTCACTCACCCGTCCCGGCTCGCCCCTCCTCACTTAGGGCGCTGACACTTCGCTCCCACCTTTCGCTGGGTGTTTCATGTGCGTTCGGCTGTGACCTCCCGTTTCCTGGGTTTCTCTGTGGCCCTGAGCAAATACAGAAGAAGGGCGGGTACCGTCAGCTCTGCGAGCTTTTGGCTCTAAGGAGCAAGACGCCTGCAAACACGCCCTGGTCAGTGCCCGCCCTGCTCCCTACCACCGCAGTGCCTGGGGCACGCCCTCAGATTCGCTTCTCTCTTGTCTTTAAGGGCGTGCCACTTCCGTTTTATCAGCCCACCGAAGAGGATGGAGGTGAGTCCTGGCTCAGACACGGCTGTGCCAGCAGCCCGGGTGGCGGGCAGGGGTCCCGAGGGCGGCCCCGAGGGCCCCAGGGAAGCACGGAGGCTGTGAGCACACCGCTGGGGGGGCCCCCAGGGCACAGAGGAACCAGGGTCTGACGGCCTGCGACCCGCGTGCAGGTGGCTTGTCCTTCACCTCTGATGGTAGTCGGTGTTTGAAAGTCGCTTCAAAAAGGGAGACCTAGGAGCTATTTAAAAGAGAATTTCTCTGAATGCAGTGTGGTTTCCTGGGTTAGGTTCTGGGGGAGAAAAGGATCACTGGTGGAAAAACAGGTGACATCCACGTGAAGTCAGAAATGGTCACCAGCGATATGTCGGCACGAACTCCTTCATTCCGACAGACGCAGGAGAGACGCCGGCCCTGGGGGTCACTGGGCGGGAGGCATGCACACAGCCACAGCCACTCTGGACTGTCTTTGCGGCTGTTCTACAGCTCCAAAGTTATTCCAGAATCAAAGGCTCATTAAAAAATTAGATGAGCCCTGGCTGGTGTGGCTCAGTGAATTGAGCACTGGACTGTGAAACAGAAGGTCACTGGTTCAGTTCCCCGTCAGGGCACATGCCTGGGTTGCAGGCCAGGTCCCCAGTAGGGGCCGTGCGAGAGGCAACCACACACTGATGTTTTTCCTTCTCTCGCCTTCCCTTCCCCCTCTCTAAAAATAAGTAAATAAAATCTTTTTTTTTAATTAGATGAATTTCTAAGAAAGCCTAGAGTTATTTGGTAACCAAACTAGATGGGAAAAGTCAAAAAGACATTTCAACAAACTTTGCTTCAAAATATCCTAAGGCGTCTTTGTCAGGAAAGCAGCCTGCTGAGGAGCTGCAGGGAGGCGGCCGGCACCCTGTGCACGGGAGCGGGTCACGGGCCGTTCTCGGAGACGGCCCAAAGGGGGTGAGCTGCAGGAACTGATGGGACTGTGCGCTCTCTCAGAAGATGTGTTTATAGCAGCGTGCGGAGCGGGCGGTGCCGGATCAGCCTCAAAGAGCGAAAAGAAATGGACTGGGCGGAGATGTCCAGGGCCTGCGTGGTCCTCCTCCCACCATCCCGGCATCTTCTGATCAACACCGTATAATTTTTCTCTCTTAGAATTTGAGCAAACCACGGTTCTGGTGGCCTGTGGGCCGTACACCACGTCCGACAGCATCACGTATGACCCCCTGCTCGACCTGGTCGCCGTCATCAACCGCGACCGGCCAGACGTCTGCATCCTGGTAGGAGGCCCTCCTGGGGCAGCTTCTTGGGGGGCGGGGGGCGCGCCGGGAAATCAGGGGTTCGCCTTTAGAAAAAGGTGCGGTGTGGGTCTAACTCTTAGGAAGTGTGTCAGATTCTCCTTTTTAAATATATTTTTTGGTTTTCATTTGTGTCTCTGGAGAGGCGTGCATGATCTGCAGGCCCCCACCTAATCTAAAAGCCGACGTTTTTGCACCCTACTGTCTTGACAAGATTCTTGCCTCTGTCTCATGACTCCAAGCCCCGGACTGTTCTCCTTTTAGGCTCAAAGGCCTCCTGTTAGCAGGGTGGTAGACTTCCCTTGCCACGTGCAGAAAGCTGGGGGGAAGCCCCATGTTGTAGGAGGCTGTGCAACTGGTTATGGGGCCACAGCAGCCTCCCTGCGCCCAGGGCCCATGGCCTCCCGTCTGATCTTGGCTGGGTGCCCCGCCCCATCTGCTAACTGTCCCAGGCTCTTCCCACGGCCTTGGCGGGACAGGGGACTATACGTGGGGGCCTCATGGACACACATGGTTCTGATTTGGCGCCTTTCTTCCTCCCCTCCGCCTTGTTTGCAGTTTGGCCCTTTCCTGGATGCTAAGCACGAGCAGGTTGAGGTGAGTGCCTGGGGTGAGGGGAGGGTGCTGGGTGCTTCCATTCAGTGGGCCCTCGCTGCTCTTGTCATCTCTCGGGGCCACCCTGCACCTTGTCCCCGTAGAAGGACACCGTAGCAGGGCACTTGTGACAAAGGTGTGGAATGGGGGGCCTCCCTTTCCCCAGACCGCAAGGCCGTTCGGAAGCTGAGGGAGGGAAATACGGATATCCACGTCCCGGTGTTCCTTGGTGACGCCCGGCGCCAAGGCCCGAGAGCGTCACACAGATGCAAGTGTCTGGGGCCTCGGAGCCGCCCGGGGAAGTGCCTGCCTCACCCGCAGCCTCCCTCGGCCCCGTGACCCGCGCCCCGCTGTCCCCAGATGCGCTGACACAGGTGGCCCGTCCCTGGACGTCTCCCACCTTGTACACAGGGTACTTTCCCTTCACAGAAGGGATTCTGGAAGGCTCCTCCCTTTCAGCATTCCGGCTTATGTCCAAAAGGGCTGATTCTTCCCCGGCCTCCTTTCCTGTCCCCAGCTGGACTCACGTCCTTGAGGACAGACATCTGTCCTTCCCACTCCCCGCAGCTCTCGGCCCCACGGCTGGTGCACGGGGCCGTCCTGGGCGGAACGAGTGAGTGAATGGTCGCCGAGGGTCCACCCTCCGCCCTCCTTCTCTTGCAGAACTGCCTGCTGACGAGTCCGTTTGAAGACGTCTTCAAGCAGTGTCTGCGAACGATTGTTGAAGGGACGCGAAGGTCAGAATTCAAAACTGCTGCCTTTTAGGCTGCCCAGGTCTCTCCTGAGCTTTCCCACCGAAAAAACGGAGACTGTTCCAAAGGAGGGTGGTTTCTGTCTTCCATCCTTTTGAACGAGAGATCAGACAGCACTCTTGAATTTCAAGTGCACAGACGCTGGGTCAAGAGGCATCTTCATAAAACACTGAGACAAACATACTTGAGTTCTGCTCTTCCCGTGCCTGCTCTGTACTGCCTTCCCCTTCTCACTCCTGGTCGGACACACCCACGTTCCGCGGGACCCTTCCCGGGGTGAGGCCGAGAAGCGTCGGGTGACTCACGCGGCCAGTCCCGAGACACCCTAGATCTCGTTGTGCATGCGATTGTTTCCGGTGAGCGCAGGTCCTTCCCCTGAGTCACTGCTTCCCCACGTTTTGTCGGGCGTCGTCAGTGGCCTGAGAAAGCCGTGGTAGAAACCCAGGGAGGGTGGGGACCTTGAATGCCTGCCATACACCAAGGGGAAGGATCTGTGAAAGGTCACGGGGTGACCAGAGAGATATGCGGTTCTGATTGAGAAAGAAAGGGGGCCGTTCCAGAAAGAGTCACTTCCTGTCCCTCTAGCGCCAGTGCCAGGCTTTGAAAGGCATTGCTGTAGGTGATGGGTCTCCTCTGGGGACTTGCTTGCCTGCAGCTGAACTCATGAAACACAAACATTCCCGAGGCTGAGCTTTTACAAACAAGTCTGTGACAGAGGTGTTTTTTTAAAATAAGATGTATAATCTTCCACCCCGTGGCCGTGAGAACTGATCCCAGAGTCGATTGGTCGGAATACTGCCTTCCTGTACCGGCAGCACGGCCAGTACGGTAGGCCTTGCGGAGGACCGGGGGAGACAGCCCTTCGGTCACCCAGAGCCAGGGGCCCTGAACCGTGCAGTGACAGGCTGCGGCTGGAGCTGCCCCTCCCGCCTCCCCCGGTGAGGATGACGCAGTGCCTTCCCCCTGCCTCCAGGTCTGTTGTGATGCTGAGAGCTCCTCAGACCTGGGGACCTCAGGACATAAACCCCCCAAAACGGGTGTCCCTGTGTTGTCGGCCATTCGGGCTCCGTGGGGGGCGGGCTGGGACAGTGGGGCTGGGCCGCAGCGCTGGCTGGGTGCTTCCAGTGTGAGGCCGGGTTCTCCGGGTCCCTCACCCCGTGTGGTGTGGACGGCAGCGGCGCAAACAAAGAACAGACGGGGCTTTGTTTCCCTGGGGCGGCACCCAGCACCACCAGGCGCTTTCATCTGCGGCCAGTGTGTGCCCAGCGCTGGGGGAGCCGCCCCACCCCTCCCCGAACAGTATATAAGAGGTGCTCCTTTGGGGAACTTCTTCCCATCCCCGAGAGGTTAGAAGTGCAGAGCACTGAGCTGATTTCTCAGTAAAAACCAGAACCCACGAGGAAGCGCCTCCCTCACAGGCTCCGGGCCTGTGTGGGGCCCTCCCACCGTGATGCATGAGGTTGTGCAATACTCGGCATAGTTGGAATTTTCTCTCGGATCCTCCCCCTATGGCCAGTCTCTAACCCTGAGCGAGAGAGCTGTTTCCTCCTTAACTGTTGCTCCTCCGGCGCCTACACCGAAACAGAGCAATTCCATCCTTTAAAGTGGCCAACTGGCCCTGGACTGGCAACTTAGTCAGTCGGCTAGTAGGTTAGTTAGTTAGCTAGTTAGAGTGTCACCACCCAGACGCACCAAAGCTGTGGTGCCGTCCCCAATCAGGGCTCATACAAGGAGCAACCAAGGAATGCACAAATAAGTGGAAAAACAAATCGATACCTCTCTCTTTTTATAAAATCAATAAATAAAAATGTAAAAAACAAAACAGCCAGCTATACCTCCGTGTCCGTCAGAGACTGAGCCCTGGGAACCGGGGGCACAGCCTGTCCCGTTTGGGTTGCCCCGGCCGGTCCGCCGGCCTCCAGCGCCCAGACGGGGAGGCGTGGGTCTCTACAGTCAGCTCGTCCATGTCGGGGGGACTGTAACGAACACGCAGCGTTCCTTTGATCTCAAGATCCTGATTTTCTGCTGCAGAAATCTCAGTTCACGTGAACTGCCATGACCAGTAAATGACAAGTGAGACAATGGTCACCAACACCTCTGTCCCATACGAGAGGCAGCTATGGACATTAGCTACATTTGGCAAGGCCATGCATTGTAAGCCAGAGAGAGAGCCAGCAGTGGAAGTTAACGGTGGGTTTCAAATAAGCCCCCAGAGTCCCACTTCATGCCTGTTTGCTTTACAACAGGCCCCTCTGCCGAGCACGGCTGAGGGAACCAAGGGAACGGACTTTTCTCCTTTTTTCTTTTGTGTGGCTGGGGAGGACAAACAGTGGGCCCCCAGAGTTAAAGGTTTTTACATCATGTATACGTTGTAACCCTGGAGACTCCCCTTCTGCCTCCATCAAAGGAAACATCTGTCAGCTCTGCTTTTACTGTTGCTGTTAAATATGCCTTTCATGCTCACCAGCCTGTCGGCAGTCAGAAATAAGAACGGAGGCATCGCTTCCCTGTGAGAGGAGCGGGGCTGGCTCCTCACCACGCTGGGGGCGTCTCTGCCCTCCCTGTCGCATTTGTGACCCAGTGTCTGGTCAGTAGGAGGTTGCCGCTTGATCTTCTAAACGTGAAAGCAGTCTCCAGGTCTGATGAGCACGCCGGGTCCCTCCTGCCCGCGCCCCCACTGGAGACTCCAGTGCTTTTAGGCCTCATCTGAGTGGGGAGGCGGGACTTTGGTTTCAGTTTTGGCTCTCAGGCTCTAATTCCTTCTAGATTTTTCTAGATCCCAATTTCTTTTTTTCCTTTCCTTAAGAAAAGTTTTTTATTATTATTTATTGTTTTGTTGTTCCACTTACTGATGCCTTCATTGGTTGCTTCTTGTATGTGCCCTGACTGGGGACTGAACCCACAGCCTTGGCGTATGGGGACAACACCCTGACCAACCGAGCTGCCCGACCAGGGCACTCCTCCTCTTCTACCAAACAGTCGCCCCATCTTTTGCTCTCGCCGAGCCACGAGGAAGCGCATCCTGGCGACCTGCCCCAGGCCGAGGCGCGTGCGTGTAAATGAGCACACACCACCTTCCCTCACAGTGTGTCCGCAGGGGGCAGCCCCTCTTCAGGGGCGCCCTCCTCTCCGAGGTTCTCCCCCGGGGGCAGCGTCTCGTCCCAGAGGCGCTGGTGTTTCCCTGTCACCCGTCCAGCTGCTCTCACTCACCTGCGCTTACTGTTCTCCCCCTCCGTGGCTTATTTTTGACGGAGTAGCTCCGGCTCGCACCTCGTCTTCGTCCCGTCGCTGAGAGACGTGCACCACGAGCCTGTGTACCCGCAGCCGCCCTTCAGCTACCCCGACCTGCCTCACGAGGACAAAAAGGTACCGGCGTCTCCTCCTCGACCTGCAGAATGGAATGTGCCCCAGGTGACCCAGCTCCGTCCCCGAAGTGGAGGGTGCAGATGCCTTCTCGGGCACATGCAGGGCCTGAAGCTTTTTTTAAAAAAAATCCTCATCCAAGGACACGTTTTCATTGCTTTTAAAGTGAGAGGAAGTGAGAGAGAGAAACATCGATTCGTTGCCTTCCGTGCGTGCCGGGACCGGGGATTGCATGTGCCCGGACCGGAGGGGCTGAATCTTAAGCTACTATTTTTAACAGGCAGACGTGCTTGTAGTTTACCGTGCATGGGCTTGGTCTCCCTTTCGGGGGGCTGGCCAGCCCTTGGAGGTTCTCAACCCCTTCTCGTTTCAGCGAGTGCTGTTCGTGTCCGACCCCTGCAGCCTCTGCGTCAATGGCGTGGTCTTCGGCCTGACGTCCACGGATCTGCTGTTCCACATGGGGGCCGAGGAGATCAGCAGGTGAGGCGCGTCTTCCGGCCCCGCAGCAGGACCGCCGACCTTCTGCCACACCCTTCGGCCATGTGAGGGGGGCGGCTGGAGCCTTTGTTTCTGTTACCGCTCGCCTCTCCGGCATTGGAGACCCCAGAGGACCACGTCCGTCTGTCTGCATTTAACGTAATTTCTGGTCACGGAAGTTCAGCTGCTTTTCCTCCCCTCCCGCATCCGTGACCTGAACAGTGGGTCAGTGGGTGTCTTCAGTGGAGGGCGGCCTGTGAACTCTGAAGGCCGTTCTCCCCGCCGGAGTCACGTGAACAGGGGTGTGTGCTGATGGGCTGAGGTTCAAGGTGCAAGGGTCACCTCGGATACGCACTTGCCTCACTCTGGCGCAGCCTGCGTGCTCTCACACACTCTGCTGTTGGCTGCCTTCATTTCGCTCCCAGGGGATTCCTGCTTTTTCCCACCTTAACCCAGTGTCCTGCTCCCCTCCCCATGGGGAAACAGGCCGAGTTAATACTTGTGGGTGGGTCTGTAAACCTCCCCAGAAGGACCCTCGTGTCACTGTGCCTTGGCCAGGCAGCCTCCCTCTAGTTTATGAAATCCCTGAGGCCTCCCTGGAGAGAAACGGAAACTGAAAAGCCCGGTTCTGCGCTCCTTTTCTGCCCTCCGCAGTTCTGCTGGAGCGTCGGACAGGTTCAGCCGAATCCTCAGGCACATCCTGACGCAGAGGAGGTGAGCCCACTCTCAGGGACGGCTGACCGTGGAGGCTGTGCAGCTCCGACAGACTGGACCGCGAGCGCTTTCCCCGGGCCCCCGGGCCACTACCGGGCACTCTGCCCTGTGTCGAGGAGCCTGTGTCCTGTCCCCCAAACGCAGAGAGGGAAGGAAACGACGGTCTCCTGTGGCAGCATGGGGACCCGAGACAGAGGGGGTCCACCTGGGAGGGAGGGTCCTGAGCCAGCTGCTGCTGACTGCTCCTTCCCGTCTCTGCAGCTACTACCCGCTGTACCCTCCCCAGGAAGACATGGCCATTGACTACGAGAGCTTCTATACCTACGCACAGCTGCCCGTCACCCCGGACGTCCTCGTAGTCCCATCCGAGCTGAGATACTTTGTGAAGGCAAGTTTGAACTCTGCTTTTCCCCAGACAGGCCAGAACCGGTCTTCGGTTTTCCCCTCTAGACCCCCGGCACCCAGTCCTCGGGGGCTGCTGACGGGTATGGTGGCCTCGCGTGGTGGGGGAGGCGGTGGGACGAGAAGACGACCTATTAGTAAACCATCTGAGTGAGCGATGTCCCCTTGCCCCTGTGTCCCCCAGAGCTCGGTGCTGGGCCGGCCCAGCCTGGCAGGCCCAGGAACCAGGAGGATGGCCCTCACACAGAGGTTCTCAGGCGAGGCCCTGCCGGGGTGACCTGGGTACTTGCCCACCCCTGCCCTTGAACTCTGATCTGACCTCCTAGCGGCCAGCCCGGAGAACCTGGAGGGCGCCTTAGGGTTCTCGTTTCTGCCGGTTTCTGCCGCGGAGGCGCTGCCCGCCCGGGGTTGGGTCCCGCCCTGGGCCTCCACCCAGCTCGTCTTCCTCTTGCCAAACCGGAGCCAGTTCAGCCTCAGGAGGTGAACTTCTTCTTGTGGGAAAACAGTAACCACGTCAGGAGTGTCTCTGAGTTTGGGAGCCAGCTGTCACCCTGCCCGGTCACCTCCTTCACTCTGTCTCAGAGATGCCAGAGGAACTCCGAGCTTCCCAGTAACAAGTTAACATGTTTGACTTAAGATGTGCTTGGCTCTGCGACACCCTCTGTGGCTCCTGCCGTTGGACGGTTCCAACTTGGTCACATCGGTCTCGCTAGCTTTGGCCTTTCGACACCCCGTCTCCTCCCTTCCTTTCCCAGGACATCCTCGGCTGCGTCTGTGTGAACCCCGGGCGCCTGACCAAAGGGCAGGTGGGGGGCACCTACGGCCGGCTCCACCTCAGGAGGCAGACCGCCGACGGCGAGAGGAGGCAGAGTCCCTGTGTCGCCGCCCAGGTGGTCAGGATCTGAGGCCTCCTGCGCTCTGCCGCTCCCACCTCTCGCGCCCTCCCAGCCGCCAAGAACTCGGGCGCAGCCTGCCGACGAGATCCCAAGCTTGGCAGGTGGAGGAGAGGAGGCAGCCAGCCGGGAAGGAGAGGGAAGGAGAGGCGCGGCGCGGGCGCAGCGGGGGAGGCCGGTGCAGCCGCCCCCGGCTCTGGGCTCTGGGCTCTGGGCTCTGGGCGAGCGTCCCTGGGAGAACGTTTGTTTCCGGCACGCGGAGCCCGGAGTGAACTGGCTGTGGATGCAGCGTGCTCAGAAGAAGCAAGAAGGCTTTGTGATTTTCTACATGAATCAGGCACAGAAACGACTTTTGGAGAAGTAAAAGTAAATTGGGAGTGTAACTTCTGAGTCTAATCTTTCTTCCGCCCTTTCTTTTTCCTGGAAGTGAACAGAGAATGTTGCCTCCCTGACCTATGTCCAGAGAAGGCGGGGTGCCTGTCACGCTGGGTCTCTGGCCAGCCCCAGCCCCGATCCTTCTAAGCTGCTCCCAAGGCCCCGGTGGCCTCTCTGCCGATGAGGAGGTGCACTGGGCCCAGGCCATGGAGCTGGGCTGCAGAGCGAGCAGCTGGCTGCGTGCCCGGCCCTCCCGGCACAGCCCTCACATGCATGCTGCGGTCCCGGCCTGACCCCTCCATCTGGAGGGGGCGGCCTCGCGGAGCCGTGCCAGGGCTGCGTCCCAGGCGCTGCTGTGTGCGGCCCAGAGCGCACAGCAGCGCCTGTGCGGGCCTTCCAGGATCCCCAGCGCGTCCTCCTGCCTGTGCGTCCCAGCATCTGAGGAAATGCCGTCTCTGGCTAAGCGTGGAGTGGGTTCTGCCCTAAATGGGCCGACTACCTCCCTCACGTGCCAACACCAAGACAGGGAACCCCCCGGCTGCCGGGCTGCGGGAGCAGTGGGCGCCAGCGTCAGAGACAGACCCGGGGACCCAGCGGTGCCCGGCCTTCGCCTTCCACCTCCGAGGGTGGAGTCCGTGGCACACCCGGCTGGACTGGGGTTAGGCTGGTCTCCCCCCTGAGAAAAAGCAGCTGCTGTTGGGTGTCACTGGTTTTCCAGGCGCCTCCTCAAGACGAATCGGAGACAAGCCCCGGCTCGGGGAGCTGAGTTTCCCTCCTCACAGCAGTTTCCCGCACGGGCAGCACCCAGCTGCGGTCCGAAGGCCCACAGGACTTGTCAGCCCCGGATGTGGCATTTCTGGAGGCCGGGCCCCTCGTCCACCACCTGACACGGCCGCCCCGGTTCAAGGGTGTCACTGGTGTTTCCACTGAGCCCAGCCTCAGCCCAGGGCCCACCCCTCCCCTCCGAGGGAAGCTCCTGCCTGGGGAGATTAGCCAGCAGGCCTGCAGCCACGATAAACAAGCCTCCCAGCCCTATCGCGCCAGCCCGTGTGCGGCTTCTGGGGAGCCCCGGCTCTTGGCAGTCATGTTCATGTTGCTTCTCAAGAAGCCTTGGGAATGGTAATGTCTTGGTCCCCACTTAGCGAGGTCCAGAGAGCCCCCTGGCCCCTGACAGAGTCAGGAGGGCCCAGAGGGCCGGTGAGTTGGGGGTGGATGGCAGAGGGGAGGGAAAGCTGCATCCTGGGGGGAGGTGTGTGCAGGGCAGGGGTGTGCAGCCCCCACACCCTGCCCCCATCCCGGGGGAAAAGCTGGTGCCCCTCTGGAGTGAATGGGATCGAGAGCCGTTGCCCGGGTACAAATCATGGGCCTTGGAAATGGTCAGGAAAGGTCAGAGTGGGCACTTAAAGGCCAGAGGACAGACAGGCCGACGGAGGCGCCTCTCTGCCCCCAGATGCTTCCCTTGGCAGGACCTCGGTGCCCAGCAGCTGCCGGCTGGCCGTTCCCAGGTCCCTGTCAGCTGAGTCTCCAGTTTCCTGATGTGTCATCCCTCTTGCTCATGGGGACTCTTGCTGCCACCTGCACCGGGGCACAGGACCTCTGACTGAAGTCGGGACGGTGCAGGAAATGAGCTGGGGCCGGGCCTGGACTCCGGGGACTCCCCTGCCTCCAATTCTGGGTAGGGTCCCCTCGGCCCCGGCCATGCCTTGTGCCCTCGAGACAGGAGCCCGAGGGTGAAGCTCCTGCCGAGTCTGTGGAGTCTGTGCCTTCCGTGCCTCTAAGCTCCAGCCGTGCCCAGGTGCCCAGCACTGCCCTCGGCCTCTCCCTCGTTCCAGTGCAGGAGCCCGAGGCCGCCTCCCCTTAGCGCTGCAAGGCTGCCCGTGAAGACTCAGGCTGTCTCGACACACGTCAGGGGGCAGCTTCTGAGGGAAATAGAGCTGAGCTGCGTGGAGACCTAAGTGGGTGCCGAGAACAAAGCTGGGAATCGGGCTGGGGGGGCCCGTGACGGTGCCTTAGCCCCCCATTCTCCTCTGCCTCCTGCAGCCTCTTTGGGCTCAGGGTTTCCTTCCCCTGACGTCGGGACACCTGGGCCGGCTCTGTCCGGCTCTGCCCAGCCCTGCCCAGCCCTGTCGCTTCCCCTGGTGCTGGGAGTAGCCGTTCATTCGGACTGAGCTTTCCTGTCCCTGTTTGGCACACGTTTCCTGCCCCCTGACCCTGGGGCTCCTGGCCGAGCCACCTGAGACCAGGCCTGGGTGCACACACGTGGGCTTTCCCTCCCGACGGTGAGTCCTCTACCTAGGCGTGAAAGCCCTTGGCTGACGAGGATGGTGAGACTTTTTTTTTTTTTTATCCTTAGCTGAGGACGTGCTCATTGATTTTAGAGAGAGGAGAGAAACATCGACGTGTGAGAGAGAGAGAGAGACATCAATCCATCAGCTGGTTGCCCCTCGCACACGCCCAGACTTGGAACCAACCTGAGACCTTTGGTTCGTGGGACAACGCTCCTCCCACCTGAGCCAGGGCTGGTTTATTTGTTAACATTTTAAAAATTGTTATTGAGCCCCGGCTGGTATGGCTCAGTGGACTGAGTGCGGGCCTGTGAACCAAAGGGTCGCCAGTTCGATTCCCAGTCAGAGCACGTGCCTGGGTGGTGGTGGGCCAGGTCCCCAGTGAGGGATGCACACGAGAGGCAACTACACATTGATGTTTCTCTCCCTCTTTCTCTCTCCTTTTCCCTCTCTAAAAATAAATAAATAAGAAATTGTTATTGAGATATACAAAGAACATAAATGTCACCATTTTAATGTGTATTGTTCAGAGGTTTTATGCGAGCAACACCACTAACTCCAGACTATTTTAATCATCCCCCAAAAGAAACCCCAGCCCCATGAGCAGTCACTGGCCAGCTCCTCCCCACTCCCAGCCCCCGGGAACCACGAACCCACTTTCTCTGTGGGTTTGTGTCTGTGTCTCCACAGCTGTGCCTGTCCTGGGTGTGGGATCACACAGTGCGTGGTCCCTCGAGTCCAGCTGCTCTCACTTAGCACCAGGTTTTCAAGCCTCATCCACACTGTAGCATGGGTCAGAGCGTCACTCCCTTGTCTGGCTGAGTTTAGTCCCTTAAACACATTCCCCATATTTTATTTGTCCGTTCATCGGAGGATGGACGTGGGGGTGTTTCCACCTCTGACTATTGGCAGTGATGCCGCTGTGATCACTGCCGTACAAGTGTTCGTGTGAGCACCTTTTCCCTTCTCCGGTGTGGGAGTGGTGAGGGGCGGGGCTTTAGATCTGTGACGGGAGGAAATGCAGGGGCCAGGAGGGAGGAGGGGGAGGGGGAGTGAGAAGGACGGGAGGACAGAGGGAGAGAGGGGAGACCAGAGGGGAAGCTGACACTCCCGTCCTCACTGTCCCAGGGTCACCGAGGCGCAACCACTGAGGGGGAACGCAGTCACTGCACTCAGGCATTTGGGCCCCTCTGTACCCTGGGCTCTGGCATTTGGGTTTTCTATCCCTGAGTGGCCAGGCATACTATCTCTGTTCCCTCTGGGACTGTCCTGGAAATGCCAGGGCCCCCAGGGGCCCAGGGGCCTGGCCTGTACTTGGACCCATCTGGGCCCACGGCCAGCTCCCGATTTGTCCACCCAGACCACGCTCTCCCTCAGCCTCCAGGCTCCTGCCTGCCCAGAGCCTGCCTGACAGCTGAGGACTCTGCAGCCGCCCCGGCCTGGGGCCCCTCAGAGGTCTCAGGGACAGCTGCTGCCCCGTGCCCCTGCTGACCTCTGACCCCTGCCCTCTACTCCCTGGGAGCCCAGGCGTCTGCCCGCCGGCCTGCAGGACCCAGCCAAGCCTGAGTCCCCTGCCTGCTCCCAGCACTGCCCCACCCCAGAGGAAAGGGGAAGGGGAGAAGTGGGGTGGCCAAGGAGAGCCCCGGGCCCCACAGCCCCACGGAGGCATGAAGCGGGCCATGGTGGGAGCAGCCCTGGGCCGGGGACTAGCAGGCAGGGCCACGCCTGATCCTCCCAAGGCCCTCTTTCCCCAGGAGACTCGAGTCCCCTGCGAGGGCTCTGCCCCTGAGAATACTCATGGTGACGGCGGTCATCTCTGGGGGTGGGTGTGAGGGGCTAGGGGTCAGGAGCTCGGAGAGTTCTTTGTCACGCCCACTCTCCTATCCTGTTTGAAATCTTTGGCCATGAGGGATGACTTTAAAAGAAAGAGAAAACGTCCACATAAGTATACACCATCCCCGCCCCCCACTCCTCTGCTCTGCACGTCGGGTCTCGTTTGCAGGCCCTCCCTGGGAGTCTGTCCCACAGGAGCAGCCAGTCTGTGCCTCACAGTGAGGGAGCCGACCCCAGGCTCTGCTCGTTCTCGAACCCTTGTCACCTACAACCCCTCCTCGCCATGCCCAGCATCCTGTCATCCACCCATTCATCCACCCATCCATCCATCCATCCATCCATCCATCCATCCACCCATCCATCCATCCACCCATCCATCCATCCATCCACCCATCCATCCATTCATCAGGGACCTGCTACATGGCACACACTCTGGGGAAACAATGGTGGTTATGCACCAGTGGGGAGGTGGACGTGTATCAAATGATGATGGCGGAGGGAAGACCGCGGTCTGGAGTTCCTGCAAGAATACAGCAAGGGGCCTGACATCGACTGGGGGTCTGGAAGTCTTCCTGGAGACAGCACAGCTGAGCATGGCAGGGTGTGCAGGCGGTGGCCAGATGAGGCGAAGGGGAAGGCGTGTGCAAGGCGCCTGCCCCGGGGGGCTGGGCTGGGAGGCTGCTGTCTGGAACCCGGGAGTGGAGAAGCCGCTTGAGGCTGGACAGGCCAGCAAGGGTCCTGCCCAGGGTCTGTGGCCCTGAAGCATGTAAGCAGGAGTGTGTGGCCATCTCAGGCGAATGTGAGTTTTCGAAAAGAGTAATGACAACATGCCTCGAAGGGGCAGGAAGTGCTGACTCTGCTCCCCAAGCCGAGGGACAGCAGGGAGGCTT